AAACCATGTTGCATGCTTGTTTTTGATCTCGTAAAAAGATAAGCATACCTGCACCAGCAAAAATTTCATGAACGTATCAGCCTAAAAAAAATGAAAATAGAGTCCTAGCATCATCTGTGAACCGTAAGTACCGATAGGTATCTGATAATATAAAAGCATAAACCTGGCCTTTTCTGTTTGGATGTTTCTCTACCCAACCAATGAACTGGTCAATCTTTTCATCTATCTTCTTTTCAATCTCATGATCTCCACAACGAACCTGCAAGAAAGCTTCAGGATAAGATGGCTATAACAGAAACATAAACGCAAAACAAAGAACTTCAACGGAGACAAAACCAATGCAAATGCAACAGACTGGCAGTCTTTTACAGGTCAAACGCAAACCATAAACTAACAGCACACTTTATAAAGAAGCAACACACCAAACAGCACCAAGGCATGCCCAATTTTCTTGGTTGTCAAGTCAATAATAATGCATGCCAAAACTTGTGGATTGACTGTTAGCTACAGAATCCTGTCATGTGCATAAAGAGAAGTTCATGACAACTTGGACTGATAAACTATGGATAATTGGATATATGCTACCTAGTTAAGAAAGGGTGTCCAATGATGATGCCACATTATGACACCATACACAACAAAAATTGAAAGAAAGCAAACATAAAGAAATAAATCCAAATGGGACACTGTATGCAACAACATATGCCAGATATGGTTACAACTCAACAGCTGAAGTAGCTTCTGTTATAAGGCAAACAACTTACATAGGTGAGCTCGAAGTGTTCACACTCAACATCCTTGGGCCGAACAAGTCCTAATGCTCTATGGAAGATAATTGTATGCAATATGCCTGCAAAAAAGGAACTGATAAATATATGCAGAGGTGTCCAAAAATCAGCAACAGATAAAGACAACTGCTGAAGATCAAAGGTCACAGGCAGTATACACACTATAACCACATGGTCTGGAATGCTAAAGCAGTTCCAGCATTTGTTTCAAAAGTTCAGAAAAAATATACATGATAAAAAAGGCATAAGCAAAACTAGAGATTAAAAATAGTTTACGCCACTTTGATTCCAAGAAAATTTGTAGAAAGTTTATTCCATGATGAAATGCTTCAAGTAAAAATAAATAAACAAAAAATAGTATGTTTACAATTTTCCTTTTTTTTATATTCAGTGTGCAGGAAATCTAAAATTGGGTTAATTTTGGAAAAGTGAGCTTAAAAACAGCGAAACCATGGACCGAAGAATTTAGCCTTATATTTTCCTTGCAAAATCGGAAAACTAAATTGTATATTTATGACATGGCACCACATAAATTTCTATATGAATGATAAATTTGTGTGACCATGTCAAATTGAAAATCTCATGGATAAAAAACGTAAATTTTCATATAGCGTACGGGTCGAGCACTTTCATATCTTTGCAATTAACCATTTTTTTACCATTGCATTGTTTTTTCGCTCACTTTAAAATCTTTAGTTTCCCAAGAAATCTAGAAAGTAACTTTGATATTCTCAAACACAAAAGAATTCCTACCTAAATCATTGAAATGACACCGAATTTTCCTTTAATTGCACGTATATGCAAGTGCTAGACCTTCCTAAGCTATAACAATTTACATTTTACCCTTTTTCTCTCACAAAACTAGGAATCTGGCAAAGTCAGACCAACTTATCATTTGTATCGAGGTGCGCACATGAACTATAAGTCAGCATTGCATAAGTTGTTGGCATTTGTGGCACGTGTTGTGCAGCATGACACACGGCTATCACATGCCTGACATCTACATACAGGGGCATCTACGATGCATCAGCAAGAAAAATAGCTACGGTGAGAAAGCCACTACATGGTAATCAGCTGATTGTACAAGACTAACAATCGTAAAAGACAAATGCTACACATCCTAATCATAGTCATGCAAATTCCACTGTTTAACATAAGCAATAATTGAACTTACAACGCAGCACATCTTGTATCTCTGTCGGCACCACCACCTGGTATTAATGATCGAAGAATAGTCAACAAGAAATTAAAGCGATAGCTACTAAGCACGCCTGAAATTACACGAAGAAGAGGAAAGAAACGAGGATCGGTATATGCGAACCTACTCGAAGCTACTCGAGGATGAGGTTAGGAATGAAACGAACAAGGGCCAAAAGGATTTCGGAAAATAGGGTCTCACCAGTTCCTTGAGTTGGCAGGTTTCGCAGTTCATGGAACCTCCCCTTCGCGACACGCAAAGGGATCGAGATCGGAGGAAAGAACGGTGGCGGAAGGATCAGAAAGATGGGATTTCGGTGGTGGCGCAGGTGGCGATTCTAGGGTTGCAGAAGGGCGAGCGAGAGGAGAAAGCGGAGAGGCCGTCGACGGTGAGAAGGGAAAAATAATGGCTATTGTTATAAAGGGTTTATTAGGCCTAATAACCCATTTCCATGACACAAATCCGACCCGATAATATGGATCGGAATCCTCAATCCGCTAAATGGCCTAATTATTTACCCGCTTACGGATCCTTAGAACTCGACCCGTTAGATGGTTGAGTTACTAATGGGTCCCAAATTCATAAAGGACGGGAATCACAAAATCCGATGTATCACTGAATTATATATGGTTGATTTATTGAAGGCGAAATGACTCAGTTTTACTTTTACATATATTTGTACTTAATCTCAGTAATTCAATTTATTATAATAATAAAAACATTAAGACTACTTTATATATATATATATATATATATATATATATATATATATATATAGCTCAAACTACTAATATTAATTACAATTAAAAGTAATTAACCTTAATTTTCTCTTTATATGTTTGTTAACACAAGGAATGTAGATGGGGAGATTTAATCTTAATGGAATTAGAACATAAATCATAATATAACATATGTTAATGATCTCATATAATCGAATCATGACAACCTAATGGATTTGACTAGGTTTCTTTGTAGTCTTGATAGTTATACTATTATCTTTTTCCAAAGAAATAAAAATAAAAATGTACTTTGTCACTTAATTATGATATGTTGAAGCAATAAAGTTTAATTATGAGACTGAATTAGGGACATATGAATCAATATCAGTAGAGCTAATTTTTCTTTACCTACCTTTATATTTTATCTAGGACATGAATTTTCTTCAAAAATGATAAGCAAATGGATATCTTGCTGCTTTAGGTTGGTAGAAAAAGTATGTCATCTTTAAGATTGGATACCTTGTTTCATGAAACACAATATGTGACAGTGATCCCTTCTGCAGCAAGAAAACAAAAGGGAGAGAGAGAAAGGAGAGGGAGAGGAAAAGGAAGATTGATGGTGAAAGCTTTTGTGTAAGTACATTGAATCCTCTTTTAGACTGTTTATTTAGCAATTCCATACATAATTTCTTAATCCTACAAAGTATCTTCTTGCATATAATAGATTGAATTCCTTTGGCAGTGAATAGCTTTCTTAGTGAGTGTTGCATGTAACAATCATCTTCAAAAGATGTGCAGGTGAAATCTAACAATCAATCTGATCATTCATTAAAGTGCTAAAGAAGATTGTAAAGTCAGTAATGCATGCAGCATGTTGACACACAGAACTGAACAGAGGATGCAGCATCAATAAGCAAGCATTATTGGGAACCCAGAGAGGGAGAGGTTAAGGAGAAGGTGGTTGCAGTAATGGAGGAATGATCTCAATCTAATCCCACAAAAAGTGGAGGACATGTAGGGTCACATGTGAGTCCTAAAGGAAGAGCAAAGGACTCCCCACAGATAGTATATGCATGAGCTCAAGGACAAACCCACTACAGTGAGCCAACCTCAATGATGGTCATGTGCATGTGCTTCCAACAAGCACTTTTACACACACACACACTCTGATCTCTCATCTTCTCTCTACTCCATCCTCTTGTTTAGCAGCCACTAAGCCAGGCATTTAGATAGATGAGTCTCAAAAATGTTATGATCTTCTTTCCTAATTCCACCCTTATTATCTTTAGCAATCACTGTGATTCCTGCAATGGCCAAATCTGAGGAGGCAGAAAAAGAAACTGTGGCCATGTTCACATCACTATCCCTGTGGAGGATTGATCTTTGGTAGCTTTTTCCTGTCACACCAAAACTACACCCCACAAGGAATACAAGGAAACACCAGCAATTATCTTTTGATCTCTCTATTCTTCTTCTTCTTCTTCTTCATTCCTCCATTTCTGCTTTCTTCCCCACCAAACTCCAAAACAAAGGTAAGAGAAAGAAGAAGAAGAAGAAGAAGAAGAAGAAGAAGGCATGTCCAAGTTATGGACTTCTTGCAATGCCGGTCTCCTTCTGGCCATCCTCTTGGATGACTTCCTCTCCTTCTGCACCTTCTTGACCTCTCATCCATTGCATTTGGCCTACCTGCTCTTCTTCTTTCCTTACCTTGCCCAGTTACTCTCATTCCTCTCTCCTCTCCTCCTCTCCACTGTAGTCCTCCTCTTGGTTCTCCTTACCATCTCCCCCTACCTCGATGAGGCGCCCCCTGCGGCGCCACCCGAGTTCGTCGGTAAAACTTGCTGCATTGTCCTCAGCATTCTAAAGGACAACCTCCATGGCAATGGGAGGATCGACCAGTTAGACCAATTTGCGTCGATAATTCTCTCATCGATCGATGATGCCAGTCCAAGCTCGCAGGAGAGTGCCGCGCAAGCACTGTTCGGCGAGTTCTTTGAGGATGCTTGTTCAGATCCAGAAGCAGAGGAGAAGTGTTTGGCTTCTGCTGTTGGGGGCGGAGGAAGCAGTTTGGAGGAGACTCCTACTGATGTCGCTTTGGGCATTTCCGCCACAGATGGTGAGCACCAGGTAGCCAATTCTGGGACCGGAATCCTATGCGGGGCAACTGAAGCACAAGCAAAAGGAATGCCGAATGCTCGAGAAGTCCTTGGCTCACATCGGGAGTTTGCAGAGCCCAAGCGGGACGAAGACAGAGCAGAGCATCTAACAGAATCTATGACCATCGAGAGGCTTCAGAGTTATGGATCGATAAGGAAGGAAAAAGAGTGGAAGAGGACGCTGGCTTGCAAGCTGTACGAGGAACGAATGACGTACAAGCTGTGCAAGGAACGAAAGGTGGCGGAAGGTGGCGAAGAGATGGATCTACTCTGGGAGGCTTACGAGGCCAATGCTAGTGAGACTGATACCAAGAAGAAGGAGAAGAAAGCAAGGAGAGTGGAGCTTGAAGAAGAGGAAGAGGAAGAGGAAGCGGAAGAGGACGAGGAAGAGGAAGCAACAACTGGACAATTGTGCTGCCTTCAAGCATTGAAGCTATCAGCTGGAAAGATGAATCTGGGAATGGGGAAACGAAATCTGATGAAGATATCTAAAGTTCTGAAAGGAATGAGGATGTTCCATGTGGGTAGTAGAAAGAGCACCAAAGCATAAAATCTAGCTCAGAAGAAATAATTTGTGAAGACTGTAAAAAGGAGGCACAGTTATGAGAATCTCACTCTCACTCTCTCTCTCTCTCTCTCTCTCTAAAAAAAGATCTGATTGCACTTTGAAGCAGCATCCACAGTCTGCTACTGATGGTTCTTGCCTGCAATTCATCTGTGTTCTAGTGATCCTCACTTGAAGGTGCTGTGGAGTTTGTAAAAAGGAAGTATAGTCATAGAATGCCATTTCTCTCTACACAAGATTTTGGTTGCTCTTAGAAATGGTACCTAAGTCTGTTGCTGATGTTTCCTTCATGCAATTCATCTGTGTTCCAGAAATGCTTTCTTTCATGAGATATTGTCATTGCCAACTTTTTTTTCTGTACTTTTTTAGATGTAATGCAGTATGGAATAACATCTTAAAATTTCCTGAGACATCAAACAAAAAATAACGGGTAAAGATTTTGACTGTCGATAGAAAGATTCGCAAATAAAACTACTCTTATCGGATATTAGAATTCCGTAAACAGGTGAATAAGGAGACAGGAATCTCAAGAACAGGTGACCATAGTAAAAAAAAAATTGGAGAAAAGATCTCTTTCTTGATGAGTTTTTTTGGTAAATCTATGTGTGAATGAGACTAATAACTGTTAACCATGAATTGAGAAGTCATCAAAATCATCTCCCTCTTCTATTGTCAAATGTCTTGTGAACATTAAGAGAGAGTACCAGTTGATGTTCTTCAGCTTATGTATTCTTGATTCTTAATCACAATACAACAAGATTGCATACCTCATCGGTGGTAACAATTGACACAGTTGCCCAAAAAATTTCTGATCAAGGACAACCTTGTCCAGAAATGATTGATGCCCATGGCACCACCAACCACCCACATGAGTACTCTCTCTCTCTCTCTCTCTCTCTCTCTCTCTCTCTCTCTCTCTCTCTCTCTCTCTCTCTCTGTGTACATATATATAACCTATCTATCTCCAGCCATCATGCATCGTCTCTTAGGAAGCATCAGATACCAGCTTTAACTACGTGATTATAGGACATCAAAGTGACTAGCTACCAGAACAGGTCACCTTTTCACCTCTCTCTCTCTATGTCTAGGGAGGGATAAAAGACAGTCCAAGGTCCAGCACTTTCCACCATCATAGCCCTGCTTCATTTCTCTTGGTCCCTGATCTCTTAATCAGCAAACCACAACTTTTTTCAGTACTAGCTAAATGGGTGACTTAGCCCTCAGTTTGACTTCATCCCCTTTGGACATTTCCTCATGAAAACTAAAGCTGCAGTCCTACTTATAGAAGCATTATGGGAACAGCTTTACTACTAACCAAACAACCTCAATGTTGGAGCAGGACAGTTGGTGTCTAATGGCTATCAATGTCTGCCCCCTGCTCTATTGTTTGATCATGAGGATGATTACCTATTACTAATTTCCACTGTTGAAGATGGGATACACAGAATACACCTTGGTAAGGACATGAACTGCAGCAGCAGCATCATCAATTGACAGCCATTGCCATCAATCCTTGCTTCATTGTGTCTCCACAGTAGGAGCAGATTTAATGCTTTTACAGAAGATCCAATGAGGTTCACCGTTGACTATACAGACTAGCCAACCATTACATCATACTTAAGATAAGGATCTTTTTTCTGATAAATCACCACTTTCCAATCTATTTGAGTAACCCGATTACAATATAAATGACAGTGCAGGATTTAAGACATTACTAATCTCTATTATTGTTATCATTTAATAGTATTTCATACCACAGAGAAAAAGAAGATCAACTATATTCATGATAGTTCCATAAGTTAAACATCATAAAAGATGAAGTCCAAAATGGATTGACCTCAAACTAAAGATTGTAAAATAAAGGCTGGCAAATCATTTACTTCATTTTGCTCTATATAATCAGTTGCAAGATGTGCTTCATATTTACAAAAACATAAAATTACCTAATTACCGCAAAATTAGTATTAGCAATTCTTCTCTTCAAGATTCCTGTAGCCTGATAAATAATTCTCATAAGGATTATCCTCGGACTTCCTTTTCTGCACAATTTATCTGGGAAACTTTGAAACTCACTTCCAGATATCATGATCTGAGTTCTTGGAAGTGTGCTTTCTGTTACATTTTGCTGGATTAAGTTCACCGATAAGTCATGTGCGGAGGCACAAGGCTTGGAATCCGAACATGTGTCTGAAACGAAGCTGAGACTCAAGTATGATTGAATGCAGTTAGTGGTGTGAGAGTTCTGTCTCAGAAAATATAATTGGTTCTTTGTTCATAGAATTTCCCATGTCCTTTGTCTTATGAAGAAGAAAAGTTCCTGAAAGAATTGTAACAAACCCACAAAGCTCCGTAACAATCTGCGATGCATTCTGTGAAGCCCAGTCCTGGAAACAACAGAAATTAGGTAAAGCCTGGCTGATCTGTGCCCAAGGCAGCCATTTGTTAATGTCTGAAGTCTGAACTCTGTGAAGTGATTACTATATTTAAATGTCTAGAAAAAGCACTTCGTCAGAATATAATTAGCAAAAGGGTTAACTAAAAGATGAAGAGATTTATTTAAAGGTGTCCACCTTTGTTCTTAAACAAGAGAGAATTTCAAACAAAACTCGAGTTTGAGCTGTTCACAGACATGGAGCTATTATGGCAGCCCTATATATGAGTTTCGTCTCGAATACTGATATCAGTTTTTCCCTAAAGTCAGTATAAAGTAGATGTCTCTAGAAAAAGAATTTGCAGTATAAGTCATATCAAGAAATAAGAACATAATAACACATATAAGAAGTAGATGATTTTAACTCCATTGTTAACTTGTCATTCATAAAACTCAGGTATCTTGATATGTAAAAGCCATTAGCATCAAATATAGGGGCATTGAAACAAGGTTTAAATAAGTTTGTCTAGTAGATTTTTACCTTAAACATGATCATGCTAGCAAAGATAGTGAGAGTCGTGAACATCACATAGTAGACAGGAGAAATCACCGCAGTGTTGAAAGTGTCCAAAGCCTGCAAATCATAGGCATATCAGCATATCCTAGAACTTCAAAGCACTTAGAGAGATTAAAAACATACAAATGACTGCATAGTTTTCTAATCCTATCATTAACTATGCGCGCATGGATGTCAAAAGTTAAATAAGATCCTTGTCACTCAAGTACAAACTCATAAACAAAAATAAATATAAGCATTCGTATTCAAGTATGCCTTAGATAAATTGAGATTCCAACTGAAAATGAGAAATCCTTTTACAAAAGTACACTATTTTTTTTATCAGACAAAACTATAATTGGGCTTTCTAGTGGCAAAATGGTCTGGTTTGTCATCATCCACAAATGTCCAAGTACAACCTGGATTTTTTTTCTATTATAAAATTTGCATTCTGGTTGTTGTTTCAGTTGAAACAGATAAAATCTTATTCATTTCAGTTCAATTTCAGTCAGGTCCAGGACCAAGTCATGGCTGAAGCTCACTTTCAGATGGTTTCTTAGAAACAGTTTTGTGATTTCAATAGAACAGCTTTAATCAAGTTCTAACAATTTCATAAAAAGTAACCGGTTTTAGCAAATATCAATTGGAAAGCTTTCCACAATGTGAAAAATTACATGAACTCCCACACTCTTCCAACCCATAGTTCTTGATCCTCAGAGATTTATTCCTATTAATCAAACAACAAAAAGAAATTTCATTAAGACCTCTTTAGTCTCTTGTAGATCCAAGTCTGTTAATACAAATGGAGATCGTGTTGAAGCCCGCATGTATATATAAACACATCGAAAAGATGAGAACAATATCCTTTTTTTCCTAATCATCAGAAATTCTAAATGTACATAACGAATTGACTAGCATGAATACAGACAAGTTACCTTGTTCAGGTAGTTCAACTGCAGGAGACAACAAATTACCACAACAACTGTAAAGAACCAAGTCTGAACAAATACAAATTGGTTCATTCCAGAAAATGTGAGCTTCAAGGCAATGCCCAATGCTTTGACACTCATAACCTGTGTAAACAAACAAACAATAAAAAATGAATTTTCTTTTATTAAGATTGATTCTAGCTGTGAAGGTAGTTGAACATACCGTCAGAGAGCCCATCATTGAACAAATCCCAACATATACAACCATATGCGTTTGACCATAACGTGGAGCGAATCGGATAATTAGGACAAGTACCACAATGACAACTACACATGAATAAACAATGAACCCTGTAAAAACAAAATTCATTGGTCAGAATGTTACAGAAGTGACAAAAAATTACATGGCATGATGGAAACATGTGGACAAATTATACATCAGTGTCAGTTACGATTATGTTCACACTGATATAGTTCAAGTCAGCACTGGACATATCACTGCAGAAGATAAAAAGTTGATGTAGTTATTCCTAGTGGCAACTATCACTTTTGGTACCTGGTTCTGTAGCTAGGTTCCAAACTTGCTTCACTGACTCGATGTTTATCTCCTTTGGTGCATGTAGAACTATGTTTGTAGATCCCACAACACAAAGAATGCAACCAAGGACACCAAATACGTGCAGTTTTTCATCCAAAACAAAATGTGCTAGCACTGCACTGCATGAGAATAGGTTTAAGGAGAAAGAGGGATCAAGCAATTATTGAGCATGGACATATCTAACAGAGTAGTACGTGTGGTACCTGACTATAATACTCAAAGCTCCCAAAGGAGTAACAAGTATTGCTGGAGCAAATGCGTAAGCAGCAAAATTAGCTATCTCACCAACAATCACTGAAAGAAAAAGAAGCAAAGTAACACATCAAATTGAGCAAGAAATGAGAGATAAAAGAGCTCAAGAAGAACTAATTTTGGCTGAGTAAGAACAGTGTTACAAATTTATCCCAGGACATGACATAAAAGACAGAAACTTTTAATAAAAGGTGGCAATTATCAGTTTAAAGCTATAAGTGCTGTTCATCAGTATTGAACATCTCTATGGCAAAAGATGATTTGACAAGAGTTATATCAACTATTACGAAAATATTATGGTACAATGTATTTACAATCCCTCATATGGTTATAATTTTTATAGACAGGATAAACAAAAGATATCCTCCAGTTAGCAACGACCCTGTCAGGATAGAACTCAAAGGACAAGAAAATATTCTTGAGATGTTTTTACTTCTATCTACCCAATTACATCAGAAACGTATTATTATAAGATAGGTAATATATTGCTAGAACCTACTAAATATAAATATCTACTACTGCAGGTGAGATTTGGTCTCCAGGCAATCAATGCTAATGCATAAATTGGGCGGTAAACTGGTTATTAGGATAATTTGATTCTATTTGATTTCAGGTTGCAGTAGTTGCGATTAAGCTACACTGGCCATGGAGAAAGGAAAACATGTGCAGACCATTTAAGTTTGAGACAACCTGCTTAAACTTTGTTTATACCGAATAAGTTGATGCAACAAATACTAATAGTCTTTTCTTTAAACAAGCTATTATGTCTACAGAAACAAATAACATCGGCAAGGCATTGAATAATCTTACTTCAATTATCATTTATCACAGTATTGCTGCAGAGATGCTAATTGCTAAATAAAACATGACAAACAAGCTAAAATTAATGATCTAATTGATAAGAAAACACTAAATAATATTAAGAAAATAAAATTGAAAATATTAAAATTTTATTATTGGTGTTCAGAATTGGCCTAAGCTTCAACAAAACCTTTTAGGTTTCGTATTGAGTATGGCCTTTTATAAGTATAATGTCAAAGTCGAAGGGTGTTATCCAATCAAGAAAAAAAAACTTGATAAGTACTGAAAATTGTCAGAAAACTTCAAACTAATCTAAAACAGACAAAAGAAAAAAAAGCTCCTTTTTCAGGTTCCACAGTATTAACTAATCTCAGACCATTCTTTCTTCGTCCTCACCTTATCCTGTTCTCTTTAAGAAGTCCTCACCTTCCCCTTGTTAGTGGTTTCTGTAGTCTTCACATTTATCTTCATTTCTTCCTACATTACATTGCTAGAATTCATCCCATTCCCTCTTCTTTCTCTTTCCCTACTATCTATCTATGCGTCTCTTTTTGTTAATATACATGCAAACACAAATACAACCATATTGATGATATTGTTTTAATATAAACATACTGATACAATAACTTTACAACAAAAGGAGCAGCCCATAGATATGGACTGCATCCTCCTGAAAGTTTAATGCACTGATAGTGCACTAATGGCTCTTTGCTCTATCCCTGTTTTCATCGGGAGCTAAAATTTGCACCAAAACAAATCAGCTTGTAAATTTCTACTAACACTTCAACAACTAAAATGATGGCAATACCTTTATCAGAAATGTTTATTACTTGTGAAAAGAACCAATACTATCACAAGTACTAATAGTATGGAACAAAAGAGAGGTGCAGAATTAAATAACCAGGAACGAAGAAAATGAGAAGAGTAAATGAAATGAAATACTCATAATGGAACTTACTGGTGATCATCCCAAGCCACCAAAAAGGCTCATATAAGTAGGAGAACCCTCCAGATCCTTAAAGAACAAAAACAACTGAATTACATGTTCAAGCTCATTGAAACTAATAATGCACTTTTGTTATCTCGAACTGTCAACTCCTGTGCTATTTGTATCCAAAAGATTAGGTTTTCTTAACCCCAAAGCATATTTTTAGCAATGCAAATCCATTATTTATACAAAAGAAGAAATTTGAAGACCAAAAATCATGATGCAAGGTAGCAGAACCAAAAGGAGATTTAGTAAAAGAACACAACCTGCTCTGACACCGTACATCCCCGCCTTCTTCAAACCTATTTTCTTCACTATAAAGCTTGACCCGATGAAAACGCTCGAGGAGAGTGCCAGCGCAAAGCCCCGAATGTTATCAGCAGACATGGCCATTGCAGAAGCCTGAATTCCAACGCACTAAACAGCACGAACAAAAGAACCAAAATGTTGCCGAGTGTCTCCACGTAAAACACAAGGTCCTTGGAACAGAGAACAATGTCGGGTTCCACAAAAAAGAAGCGTCCTTATCTGATTTCCTTCACTAAGAAAACGGAAAAGGGTCGAAGCTTAATTTACCTTCGAACGACAAAATCGAATCAAACGCCCGTGTATGAAATGGGCTCTATGTTCTTCAAGCGATAGAAGATCACGAACATTGGGATGCACCAGAAACGATCCCTCCCGTCTTCTCTCCGCAACAAGATAACAAAGATCGGAACCATATAGCGCTCCGGTTCAGGAACGGCTCAAACGCCTAACAAGCTGATCCGGAACGGTGCCAAGGATACGAACGTTCATGCTTGCCTCCACCAAACCCCGGAAACACAATGTCGCGATCCAGAAGAGCCGAAAGCAGGGGAAAAGGGCGATTTGGAGCTCATTTTCTGGGCAAGGAAACACACGACAAGATCCAAACTTTGGGATCGGAGACGCCTCGAGCGCACATCAAACGGATCAGGACGGCGCGACGGATTCGAATGCTTGGGATTTGGATTGTTGATAGCCCCCTTCGAAGGTCCGGAGCCCACACTATGTACCAACGAAATGACTCCTCTCCAAGATTTAAGAGGCGGATGGACGCTCCGAGCGCCGCGGGCCGTAACCTTACTCTCTCTCTCTCTCTCTCGTCTTCGATAACTAAATAGATCATTGTGATCTTACCTTACATATTTGTCCTTATAATAATTAAAAATAACATATTTACTCCTTAATGATCTTACCTTGCATATTTGTCCTTATAATAAATAAAAATAACATATTTACTCCTTTAAACTTTATGACAAGTATAGCCTCTCATTTTAAGTTTTTTTTTCGGTATATATTCTTAATTGTTAATTTTCTTATTTGGTATTTGATATTTTTATGTCTCTAATATTCTAAATGTCTTTGGTCCATTTCGTCTTCGTCTTACTTTCTATTCTCCTTGATTTCAAAATTCAAGGGTACCTTTTAGAAAAAAAATCAAAAAAGAATTTTTTTTCCATGAAATTGCATAATTTTCTATACTTCTAATATCTGAAAATATCATATTTATTATATTAAAATCTAATATAGTATGTATATATGTATATGTATCTTTATTTTAAGTATCTATCCTTTTAACATTTAAAAATAGCATATTTACCCCTTTAAATTTAATAATAATAGCATGTATATATATATATATATATATATATAATTTTAATAAAATCAGATTAATCACTAAAAAATTGAAATAATATTTAAATATTTAAATACTTAAAATGCCCCTTATCACTTTCTTCGATTCGTTCCTCATTTCCTTAATAGAAATTTTAATATAAGACGAAAAAATATTCCAAGAACACATTTATATCTCTATAAAAAGATGAAAATCATCACAGTTTTATCCATAATTCCATAAGTTTTGAAGAGCTTATATGTAAAATAAATAAATTGAAGGAATCGATTAGCAAATTAGAGTCCTCAATAATTCAATTTTCATCATTTCTATTATATTTAATGGATAAATAAATAAGGTTTGAAGGACTTATACGTATATTAATAGTATGAAGGAATAAATTTGCAAATTAGAGCCCTCAAGGCAACATAAATACCCGACACAAAACAGGGCAAGGGAACCAATCAGAGGAGACGAGCGCAAGGAGAGTCCCCGGGCACGGCAACACCGCGCTCCGGTCAACCACCTCCCCCTCTCGGCGGTGGCAGTGAGACCTTCTGGTTGCCCCAGTGTCCGGGGGGCGGCGGGTGGCATCGGCTGTCCTCGTCCGCCTTCCGCACCCGCGCGGCTGTCGGGGAGGAGGCCAAGGCCCGGAGCAGCTTCGACGGCGTGAAGAAGGCGTGCAAGCAGATGGTCCGCAAGTACCATCCCGACGTGTCGCCGCCTGATTGTGCGGAGTACACCCGGCGGTTCATCGAGGTGCAGGAGGCCTATGAGACACTTTCGGACCCCCGCAGGGGTTGCGTCTCGCTTTCTCCACCGGGCGGCGGGTTGATGAGGTCGGTAATCTCGAGATAGGTTTTGGGTTCCCTGTCGGATTCAATCGCTTAAATTCGATTCCGATGTATGTGTAGTTTGTTCAAGTTGCTAACTTTTTTTCGACTTTTTACTCTTCTTAGATACCGTTTATTGTTGAACTCGAGGATTGTGGTCTTCCAGACACTTAAGTGTTTACTGAGAATTGAGTGAGTTGTGGTGTGAAATCTCTTCAAAGTTAGATCTTACTTGATAGCTAGATTGAAATGTTTGCGCTAGGTTATTCTAAGCATGTCGTATTATCTAGTTGATTGATTCTCTATTAGTTTCTTTAGGATTTAAATTCTAAATTTGTCTTCTTTTTGCCTAGATTGATATTATGTAAAGGTAGTGAAATTGCTACAATATTATGTTTCTTTTCTTTGGCTTATTGTTTATTTCGACTATCTTAGTGTTATGCTGTTTGGTGGAAAGTTTGTCATGAGAGCCCAGAATAGGTTTCACAATATTTCCTTTTGTACTCTTTAGGTGAATACCATGACATAGTTAAGCATCTTGAGCCTTGTCTCCAAAATCCCTCTTTGTTGTTACTTTGCCAGATGACTTTTCTTAACTTGGTTTTTATCAGGATTTCCATGTCTTCTTATAGTGTTTTATTTATTTATTTTGTATTTTGAGTTTTGTTTTTTCTATGTTCATCCTAATGGTTCTTAATTCTTCACATTAAAATTGCAAGTGTGGATAGTGGGAGTATAATTCAACATGATACTCATAAGATGGTTGTTCTTTTCCTTGCAAGATCTTTCCGGTTAATGATTAAAGAATCGTGTTTCGACCTAATGGTCAAAGCACTATTTTTCAAAGAAATTTTGTTTATCCAGTAATAGAGATACAAACATCACTATGTCGCTGGTTAACTGGTGATAAGGTAGCTATGTGGTTTCTGGTTTCCACTATACCGTTGCATTGTGCATATATGAATATAGATCTCAGATTAAGGGCTAGATACTTGATATTTAAGGTTATCTTCTGCAGATGAATATGGAAAATTAGATGATCAAAGTTACATTGTCAATCCCATTCCGGACATGTAACCCGCCTATTTATTGGATGACTTTTCATTTTCTCTTTCAAGTTTTTCATGCTTTCATTGTTCAAAGATTTTGCTTTCACAACTATATCTGACACTTTTTTTTTCTTTTTGAGAGAACAGCGTTCTCTTATGCTTATTGTATTTATTTTTCTTCACTTTGGAAAAACCTGTTTGCAACAAGGCCCTTCAAAATACACATGTAACCTCCTTGTTTTCATTTCCTGTGATGCTAAACCTGACAGGTACAGTTCATTTTGTCACTTCATGTAATTGATTTTCTTAAATTTTACAACTAGTAATCCTTGTTTCTAATCCTTACTGCTCTTCAGTTAGTCCTTTGAGGGATTTTGTCATGTGTGTGCTATATGTTAAATCATAGTCATTTTCTATCAGGAACTGGAGGAGAGACCTGGTTGGAAAATCCATCAGCAAGATCAGCTTGCTGAGTTGAAAAGGAGGAGCGTGAATAAGGATTCAGGAGGCAACCTATCTTGGGGGGCTCGAGCGCGGAGACAAAGGGCTGAATCATAAGCTGAATGGGGACCATGTAATTGCAGTTGCGGATATCGTCTTACATATCAACTCGTTCTACGGTCTGACTTAATTGGCAAGGCTAATCTTATCCACGGTATAACCAATCTAATATCAATCCTGACATCATTCTGGTCTAGTTGATACAGTGTTGGTGAAGAGGGAGGAAAGTTGAGTTGATGAAAATAAAGAAACCATATCTGCTCATCCAAAGAATGTACAGGAATGAGTGATGCAATATAATGCTGACAACAAATAAAATCCAATGTAAATTCCATTTCCCCTCCATCTATGTGACTTCTCACAGACCAAGTCATCTGATTTGCTGGTTAACTTATGTTGCATTGATTTTTCAAGAATTAACAGCTTATCTAAGAATATTACTTTTGTTGGAAATGCTTGACACTGTGTGATGTGTGTTCTACTTTCCCCTTGGTGCAGGATATCAATTGGATCAAATCTGGAAGTCTTCAATCGAAACCAATTTCATGCACGATCAATATGAAACAGGGTACCTTTAATCAATTCCAGATATTTTGGTAGTTTTCAAATTACTAGTAGCTTATTTGATAGTTCCAGAAATGCCACTATTGGAGGTTAAATACTCAGAATAAATTCCTGCTTTTGAGTTTTGAGAGAGAATTTGATATGCATAACTTGAATCATGTGATTAATACATTTAGAATCCTTCAAAACACACACAGGATGAACTACAATGGGACTTGCAGAATCTGACCCTAAATCTGTGCATTCTCCACTTTGCTTTTGTATCTATGTATGTCTCGTAAGGTTCTTTCTGATTGTTCTTCTGAAGAAATTTTGGTTCATTGTACAAACAGGTAGCTTTACTTCAAGAACATGTCAGGTGATATTAGTAGTTGGATTAAATTTGCAGTAATATCCAACAAACAATTATATTCCTTGGAGACATGACATAACAATCTAAGCACTTCAAGCTTATACTACAATGAGGAAGCTATTACAATCCAAGCAAAAAGGTGAGATTAAAGGCTTAGCTTCACACCTTGAATTGCAGCAGGTCTGGCCTCCCTTCTATGGGCTGTCACCCCTGCAGCCACTGATGATTTGACAGCCCCTGTTGTAGGGATTGGCCTTTGGGAAGACATGGCAGTTGTAGTAAGGGACACCAGGCTTGTTGCAAGGCACCACATCCCCCTTGAGAGCCTCATAGCTGATGTACTTCTTTTCAGTGACAGCCCACAACAGCCTCCTGCTTTCCTCCGAGCTCATCTCCATCTCCACCCCATGCTCCAGCAGGCACCCCTGACCTCTTCTTCTTCCACTGCAGGGCAGCTTCACCATCATCCCACTTGCAGTGGCTTGCTCTGGGAGGAGGAGGAGGAGGAGAAGAAGAAGCAATGGCCAGAGGATCAGGCTCTTCTTCTCCACAGTGAAACCTGAGCTGAGCTTTGCCATCTCTTCTTCCTGGTTGTGAGATCTCAGAGTTGTGTTCTGTGTTCTCTCTCTTTCTGTGAGTGGAAGGCTTTAATGAGATGTCAGCTGTTCCACCTGCTTTGGCTTTATGGCCAGTGAATAAAGAGCCAGCAACCAATTTCTTCACTTCACACTGTTGTAGTGGGAGGGTGAGGGGAATGTGTCATGGTGGTGGGCAAATGCATTAGAGGAATAGAATCTTCATCATGGATAGCAATTCCATATCCATTACTTTTTTTCATTCCCTTTTGAAATGTGCATAAAAAGGTTTGACTATAACTATGTAATATAGTTCAATTGTTTCTTTGATTGTCCAAAAGAAGAGTTGGTAAGACATCCTGTGCACACAAATCAGGTATTTACATATACCGTGCCACCATGAGTAAATCTACATTGGTGTTTCTAACTCAATGTATTGTCACTGTTTTGTGGTTGTGAAAGGGTTAGTTCATGATTTTGATGTCACTCTAGCTGTGTGATTTCTTACAACACAGGGAAAGCTTGAAAGGGTGATTAGTGACTATCTCCAAATCTGTCATCCATTTATCGACATTTTTCACCGATGTTTCAGTAATATGATTAAAACAATAAAAAAAATTATTTATTATAACTATGATTATATATGTATTTAAAAATGATCATAATGAATAATTAGTTGATGGATCTGAGGCACAAATATAGTATAGCTCATGTTCAACTGGTCATGAACATGGAGCTATTTGGATCTGCACCAACTCATGTTCACATTACAACTTTGCCCCTTTGTAGCCAGAAACAATCATCAATTTTGCTGATTAAACAAAAAATTAAATAAGAATGACTATGCACAGTGAGTCCAAAATATCAAACACATCTGGAAATGTGTGTTTCATATATTTCTCCCATTATATACAAAGACAAGATATATAAAGATGAATAATCGCATCTTCAACATGAGCATTGTCATAGGTTTAGAGTAACCACCACTATCCTTGCATTGAAGCACACCATTAGTTCATGTCAATCTGCAGTGAATGAAGCACTTATATTACAAAGACATGGTACAAGAGAAGCTGGTTCAGGAAGCTTGTAAGTGTCAACCATAAGGGCAAAGAGAAGTCCTAATTGCTCCACACTGCACACATATTGTCATTTCCTTGCATGCTTTCCTCGTTTTGCTCATCATAAAGATTTTGCCTCAGACGGGCACTCGCATCTTCTGCATCAGATCAACCTGGCCTTTCAGTCAGAAACTGCTGCCAGAACACATCATTCGCTGGTATATGAACTGCAGATGCTTCATTACTAGGTGGAACCTCTTGTGAGGAAACGACTTTGGCATCAGTAGACTGGGCCACCATACTTTGAATAGTCACGACTGGTATAGTAAGATCATTTTCTCTTGCTGTATTGGATGTTTTGAGATCAGTGGCATGAGCTGCCCCTTCATCCACCAAATCTGGAGTTCTACTTGAAAATTTACCACCATCTGTTTCCATTGCAGATGATGCAAGTGTTAGACCCAAATGACAAGGAAAGAGCCCATCATCTTCATCAATTTCCCTAACAAAGACAGCATTCCTTATTGAACAAAGGGGTGCCCCTGTTCCACAGAGCTGCAATGTCTCAGGTGTGGAAGGGAGGCACTCCAGCTCCTGACCACAGTCATTGTCTTCATTGGAGCTGTGAGTGACAACAGTTATCAGACTATCATCTGGAATACCTGAGCTCAACTCTAATTTTAGCTTCTCACAGAAGTCCTGATCGAGTATGTACCCCTTCTCGGGATTGGTAGAGGTATTACGATCAGCACGCAAGTTGTTCACCGAAGCCTGATTGCTGTAATCCAAATCTGGTGGTAATCTCCTCTTCTTATGGATGACCGAGATGTCCATCGACGAGGTTACCGCCATCTTCATGAGATTTGCCATAAGCTCAGGTTTCTGCAGTGCTCGCTGGACGAAAGCAAGAATTCTGAGATGCCGCTGCTCCATATCAGCCAACCTCCGCTCGAGATCGTCAATCTGGATCTCGGTTCCCGACTTCTGTTGCATGAACTTCTGGATAATATCCTCGAGGCCAGCTTTCTCCTGGTTGAGGCGCTCGATCGTGCCCTCTAGCGCAACCCTCTCGGCGTCAGCAAGCCCACCTCCCGGCGGATGGCTGTGGCTGTGGGTGGGCTTGCGGCGGTGAATTTTCTTGAGCAAGTGATTTTGACCCTTGACAAAGTCGTCGTTCGCGAACTCCCACCGCTCCGGATCGATCTTCTTGAATCCCTACACATCAAGATTCAATTTTGACTCCAAATCATGATCATTTTCTCCGAGGATAATCGACGACAAAGTATGTCAACTCGAAGAACAATAACTCAAGATTCGATCTTGACATCAGACCTAAAACATCACACCCAAGAACTGGATTCCCAAAACAAAGCGAGAAGAAGGGCTGAAGTTTGGTTTCCTTACATATGTGTTGAGCTGGCGGACGAAGCTGGAGAAGTTGTTGTGCTTGAAGTACGTCGGAAGCAGGCTGGTGACGAAGTCGATAGGGTTCCAGACCACAAAGCTCGCACCAGTGGAGCTCCAAGACACGATGGCATCGGTGGAGGCGTCGTCCACCATCTCGTACGTCTTCAGCAGGAAAGGCGCCGGACCACCACCGCCTCCGTTACCTCCCACGGGGACGCCGCCGTCCATCTCTCTTCTAGGGTATTCCGGTGCTTTTGCGGATCGCCGATTGGGTGCGCAGGGAGAGCGAGCGAAGTCGCGGAGTCGTCAACGCGGGCGGGCTCGAGCGGACTCCTCCTATTCTTCGGACGGGCGGTTTTATTACATAAAGCAAATTATATATCTAATTAAAGTAACATTTTGAATAATAAAAATAAAATGAGCAATTTTACGAATAAATTTGGATGTGAAAATATAAAGGATTCGTCGCACGGATACCTTCCGATGTGTTACGATCCGAATCAATCCATATATCGTACCGGTATAACCCTTTCATCCTACTCATATCATTACCATTCAAAATCGAATTACATTATTTTAGCCGATAAAAGAGCAACGTGCTTTTACATATTTATCCTTATACAATTTTGAAATGCCCTCTTTGTCCCCCAAAAATTTACTTCAAATATTTATATACTGCCCATATGTCTTTCACTTCCCTTTGCATCTGTCCGATAAACCCAAATCAATCATCATAAATTATGAATTAAAAACATATCAATTTTTGATTACTTAAAAATAGCCTTTAATTTTTTTGTAAGATCACTTTGATTTAAAGAATTAAATAAAATTTATTGGTAGAAAATATATGAGATATTTTTGAAAGGTCTTGACGTTATTTAGAGTGTCAAGGTTATTGTACTAATAATTAATTGATGAAGATTTATTTTTTAAAATTATATATATATATATATATATATATATATATATATATATATATATATATATACCCCTAAAAATCTTTAATATTAGGCTTTTATCGAACCGTGTCTTTTATTTGGAGCATCTCTTTTTTGCCAACTCAATGAAAATATCCTTGTCATTCATCCGCCATTATCGATCGTCGATTGTCAAGATTATTATATTAATAATCAATTGATTAAGATTTATTTTTTTAATATTATATATATCCCTAACAAATTTTAATATTAGGTTTTTATCGACTCGCGTCTTTTATCTATAGCATCTCTTTTTTGCCAACTCAATGAAAAAGGAGATTGCTCATAGGTCCTTCATTCGTCACTATCGATCGTCGATTGCTCATACGGTAAAGAGAGGGAAAGAAGATGACGTGAAGTCCTTTATGGCAAGGATAAGTATGAGGTATGAAACACAACGATTCTCTTTCTTAAGTGGGATATGATAATACAACACGCAATGATTGTCATCTCAACAGTGATGAAAGTGTCAAGTAAGCGAAGGTCATAAATGGGTGTCCGATCTATTGGAAAAGTAATACTAAAATAATATTTGATTAAATCAAAATAAGTTAAATATGTAAAAATTGAAGTAGAAAGTTTAGAAAAGAAATCTAAAGGTGTGCAAGCAATATCCTAATTGTATTTCTCCGTACAAACATTATTTACGAGTCGCTCGAGATACAACCGAATAATCTAAAGATGTTTCGCAATAGCAATAAAATAGAAACGAGAAAACTTATCTCTTTTTCTCTTTCTATATTTTTCTCATATTTTTGGCAGAATTTTGCTGCATTTTTTCCTACAATGTTCGGTGTGAAGTGACTTATTTATTACCAATCCCAACCAATAAGCAAGTGCCATGTGGCACTATGCAAACGCAACAGCCAGCACCCTAATGGCACGCTCTCGCGTGACGCACAACCGCGCGATGCATGAGTGGTTCCTTAGCAATTAATGTAGCTGAGGTAAATGAGTAATTCTATAATTATCCAACATGTTATAAAATAAATCAAACATGTGTATATCAATAAATTTATGCCTAAATAAACATGTGTCATTCCCAAATATATGCCTAAATTCGACTCATCAAACACAAATATATATAAATAAAATTAAACCAATTTAATTCATTAATATTTTTAATATAACTTTTGAGGGTAGAGTAAAAAAGTTGAGAGAGAAGTCCTTCAGCTGCTATCGATGTGGAATTAAAGTCCTTGAATAGTAAAAAAAATAATATTTTTTTCCCTTTAGGTTTCAAAAATCCCAAAGAAAACTTAAATTCTCTTCAAATAAATAAATAACTAAATAAAATATTTAAATAAAATAAAAAATATTAAAAAATAAATATTATTGGTCATATGCGATCAATGAGGTGAATCACTATGTTCCTTTGATCCAGACTTTAATTGACTCACACATAGTATATAATATATCTTGGTGGGTTGTGTATTAATTTTTCTACAATAAAAATCAGACCTCGAGTTATCAAAGGCTTCTAATTATTCAAGCCACCTAGCAAACCCATTCCTATTAAATTTTTAGCCTTAAGGGACTTGAAATTATCTAAGGCTTACAAGATTTATAATTAAGCTTAAGAGAATAAAACAAATGCATAATATCTGTAAAATAAAATTCAAAAGTTTTTATGGCTGTAAATCATGATTTAATGGAGCAGAAAAGTAAGTTAAGTAGATTTTTTTATTTCGCCCTTTAAAATATTTGTTATGATGTTAGGACACATAGATTTCAAAAATAATTTTGGTAATAATATAACACAATATAAGTATAAATATAATTATAACATAATTGATAAATGCTATTTAATGAATTATATTTTTTAATAAATAAAATTGAAGTGTACAGAATAAAGGAATACTATCAAAATTATTTTCTCTTTAATATAAATCCAAAAATACAAATGGAAGGTATAGCTCAAGTTATCAATTTTTACAGCTAAATAAATGAAGAAATAATACAATCATTATAACAATAATGATTTTGTAAATACAGATTAATAATATGATAAAACAATCATTAAACAACAACAAGAATAGCACTTATAAATTATTTGCTTCACAATGCTAACCCAATAATTAAATTAAATTATTTAACAAATAATCAAACACTTACACAGGATTAACACTAATAAATCTATTTTTTTTTTTTCAGATTAGCACCCTATTTAGTCTTAATTGGAGGAGGACTATGTTTAGATTATACTAAAATAACCTCCGGTTTAATTAAAATAGATTAAACGTGTATATATATATATTTGTGTGTATATATGTATATATACATATATATATAATATAATATAATATAATATAAAGGAACCTTGCTATAATTCATATCGGACGTTGCATGATATATCGTAGTCGATTTGGAACAACAGCATAAGCGATACGAAAAAGTTCTATTGTTACAAAGGGGCGTTAAACGGGCTCTGTTATTTGTTTTGGGCTCTCTCGTCTTTTAAATTGGGGCTGTCTTAACAGAAACGGCCCATTGTCTGATCGGCCTCCCGAGCAATTCGTTCCGGGACGACGTTATCTCTGCAGGTTGATCCCCGAGATCGACATGCGATACCGAACTCTGGTGTCTCCGGACTTGGATCGGGCGATCTCTCGGCGTACATCCTGGCCCTGCGCTGCGATGAGGGGTTCTTCGCAAAAGGATCTCGCCGTCTTTGATTTCAGCGAGGAGGAGGCAGCCGTGGAGGCGGCGGCCGGGATGTTCACGGCGAAGTTTCAGTCGAGATTAAGACCTAAGATGGACGACGCGGTCTACAAGTACCACTTGCTCGAGTCCTGTAAGTTCTTCCTTGACCAATCCCTTTTTCTTTTGAGATTTTTGGGTTCGCGATGACCCTTTAGTGGACATAATGGGACATTCAAGATGGTGGTAGTTGTAACGAATTGCAGTCCACCAGGGCAATCTCTGGTAAGGACAATGGACTAAAATCGAATTGCAGCTGTGTCATATGGGCATTTGTTTGTGGGGACTTTTGGATACAGTGGACTACCTTGGACCCTTTGTTGTGCCATTGTTCAAAGCTTACGAAGTCATTTTTTGGATTTTAATATGTCTGAATTAATCTAAATAAGACAAATACTATGGTTAATCTAGTGGGCTTACTGCATGACGCTTGCCCTAGATAATATGATTACATTGTATATTGCTGTATCTGTGATGAACATTGTCCTATTCTTTTCCCCAAGATGTAGCTTATTATGTATTAATATCATATTGTGTTGGTGTCTGATACTGATATCCATTCTTCATAGTTTTTTTTTGTCTCGACTTGATTAGATGATACATATGGTACCTTAAGTATTTCTAGAGTATACCCACCACTTTGATTTCATCTAATGGTGTTTATTATGCAAATCATTTGTTAAAGGATCACTCCAAATGAATCGAATCTCGGAGTGAAGCTCTAAAGTGTACTCAAATGGCATGGATTAACCCATAGATTTTCGTTTCATTTGGACCGATATGTGCTAGTCACAGTTTATAGGGTTGTGGACTGTCCTATTTTGGGTGATGTGATCAGGTCCGGTCTTTTTAATTAGAACAATTGTTTTGTCTTTTTTGTTTTGTTCTTTTAGGTGCCCCATTGCCTAGGGCTCATGAATTGCTAGTGTTCCTCTCCTTTGTCTGTCACCTGCCTGTTGCCATCATCTTCCGCTGCTTGCTGCCTGCATGCGCACCTGTTGCTCGCAACCCACTTGTGCACCCACTGCCCTGTCATCAGTCTCATCCATGGTATATTTCCTTCTCATTCCTTCCTCATTTCTTCCTTCTTCTCCATCCCTCCAACAAAATGGTACAATAGTAAATTGTGTGTCGGTATTGCCAGAATGGACTTGACCCGTACCTGTCCAGTCATGGACCAACACATGGATTGACACGGTTTGGTACCCGAAATTGAAAACCTTGGAGTAACCTTTAGCATATCCGTCGGATTATCATATTGAACATTTTGGAAATTGGATAGGATTTAGATTGCTCTCCAAGAGCCTATATTAACAGAATATATGATTGTTAAAAGCAAAACCATCCTAGAGAAGCAAGAAAGGCCAACCATGTCAGATGATTCTGTGAATGGACCATGTAACTTTTATGAGACACATATCTTGGAGGACATTTTCCATTATAGATTCTTACCCTTTCCGTTGGTCCACATTATGTGAAACAAGATGAAGAGAGAAGAAGAGGGTGAGAAAAAGAAGTAAGATAGGGGAGAACAAAAGAACTCTCTCTTTTTTCAAAGAGATAACTACGAACTAGTAGTTCAAAATATAAAAAATTGATATAAAGTTTCAAAGACAAGAATCCCCCATCAATCTTCTTTCCTTCCCCTTTCATAGATCCCTTGTACATTGAATCATTCAACCACCTAGTTAATGAGTCACAAATTACTAAAAGTCAAGCACAAATTACAACACATATTAAATTCATGGTGCATTGTACCTTGGTGGTTTTGAATTTTCATAATGTTCTCAAGATATGAACCATTTTCTTGAATTTTGATAGGGTTGAACTTGAAATTTATTGTCTTGGAACTTGGGAGAATTCAATGCTCACTATGCATGGCATTACAACATGACATGGCACCGCTTTGAGAATATGCTGATCATGGTTTTTGGGATTTTTTTATTCTGAACTTGATTGGCCATGCTGTATCTGAATCTTGAGTCCCGTACACTTTTTTGAGGAATCATCAGTATTATTGGAAGTTCTAGTCCATCTTTTGTTGATCTTGATGCTTGGCCAACCATGATTGTTGGTCCAATTTTAAGCTTTGATTGTTCTTGGCCAATTTTCTACTGATATTGCCTATGCTATTCCATTTCTGGCAAATCTTGCTGATCCCTGCTGATTGATTTGATAATGCAAGATCCTAAAACTGATTTGGGCGATTTTGAATGATCACTGCCCTAGATCCTCAGCACTGAATTTGATATTGATCTGTGAACCATACTGTTGGTATGCTGTGTCAAGCACAATGAATTTTCGGCAGTGCCTAACTTATTACAAGTGAAGTATCTAATTTGCCATCTATGTTATTTCTCATGGTAATTTCTTTGGATCAACCACATTTGCAAACTTTTCTCCATTTAGATGCTGTTAATGATGATATAAGCCTCAATAATTGGAGTTATTGAAAGGTTGAGTGTGTCTTTATATATACTGGAAGTTGCATATAGTTTAATCAGCAGGAAGTCTTAGCTCTATGAATTTTCTTAAATTTAATAATCAATCATTTATCTTAGAAATTACCATTGACTTCGTACAGGGATCAACATTCCTATTTTTGGCTAGCAGCTGACTATGTGTACCTGTGACTACGGCTGATGCAGTAGATCTTGCCATGTTAGAAATTGTCATGTATGATGATTTAACCACAATGAAGGCCCGACAAATGAGATATGCTTATTCGAAATGTAATTAACCACAACTGAAAAGCAGATTGATGACTAAATGATAAGTAGTTTTTGACATTCCGTGATCTCCTGTTCTTTCATCCAGTCTTCCTCAGCATCTTTGGGTGGCAATGGGATGCAAACGACGGAGACTTTCTTGAAAATGAACTGGTATTGTTGATCACAAAAAGCCAATGCAACTTCTATTAAATGGTTAACTGGTTTGGTTAACTCTTGGCTGGTTTTAAATGTGTTAGTGCATACAACACAAAATCCTGATAATGTGTCCGGTTTCTTGGTTGAGATAGGATTACCATCTGAAATAGGCATGAAATAGTTGATGGTTAGAACATTGGGTTCATACATGTAGTGATTTTTGTTGTTGCATCAGGTGGGTGTTTTTTATTTTACCCAGTGAATTTGGATATTGTAGGTTAAGAATATGTATTTGGTAGGAAGTCCTAGATTTTTCCTAGTATTGATTCTAGATAAAGCAATATTTTTTATTCTGAACTACTTGGATGCGGTTCAATGTTAAGGGTAGCTCAATTAGAATTGCTTTATGCATGAGAACAATTGTTATGATGCCCTTTTTGAAAGCATGAACATCATAAGAAAATTGTGGTTATGCTTTTTATGTGAATCTTTTTTTTTCCTGCTTGTGTATGATATTCATTTTGAAAATGTGTATCTCATGGTGTTGGTACATCATATCCTTGATGGGTGTTGCATTATTCTCCCGAAGCTGAGATGATATTTCTTATATTTGAATGTTATATAGTGAGGTATTTTGACTTTGCATAAACATCAACTGCCACTGTAATGACAGCATTCTTTTTTTATAATTATTACAAGATCAGACACTTCAAGGAAGTGTAGACATGTATTCATCACTGTGGACCTTAGCATCTTGAACTATCAATGTTTTGTGTCTACTAAAAGATATACTTATTGAAGAGTAATATTTAATTATGGAGCTTGAGGATGAACACTTGGAAGTTTTTGGGTATTTATATTGATTCCTGAATGTGCTTGTCTTTTGTCTTTGTGTCTTTCATGCTTTGCAGTTCTTTGATCTTATTTCTGAGGTCTGTGGTCTTCATTTTCGTTGAATATATTTTTTGGAATTGTCTTGGTTAGCTCCTGAACTATTATGCCTTTTATTTTTAATATTTAATTATTTAGGCATGTTCTCAAGGTTAGAAGTTCTTATAGGGTTTTCCTTGAGAATATCTCCACTGGAGGTGTCACAACGGGTATGGCACAATGAAAAAGTCAGGCTTCATGGTTTGATTCTAATGGTTTTTCCACCAATGTACTGAGCAAAATACCTGACTCATCACCACATAATATTACCAAGAATGTCAGAGCAAGATTTGCATTATGAACTATTTGGTGCATGGTGCTGGTACCTTGACCAAGGATATTTTGAAAAATTGCACTTATGGAATTACTGTTGCAGTTAGTAATGTAGTTATTGGGTTTTGTATATAATTTTAAGATCACATGAGTAGAATCCATCGGTAGGGTTCAGCGGACTTTACATATTATAACCCATATTCATGTGGGAAGTATCATCCACTTATACACATGCTTTGGTTTGTTTGGTTTTGTATTGCCACTCTTTTGAAAAGGGGCATTTTTTCATATCTACCCCTGAATGTGGCAGTCTATCAAAAGAACCTTTCATCCATCATGAAATCATCGCATTGCCAACTGTTTTTCTCATTGTACAATAATTTATAACAATCATGAAAATATTGTAATTTCAAATTTATGTGTTTGGTTCCATATTTTTGAGAAGGTTGTGGCCTTTGTTTGCTTTTTAACTTATTAGCCATATTTGTACAAGTCTGTTGACATGCTTGTTCTCTTTTCTGTCACAGACACTTCAGGCTGGACTCTTAAGGGTGATATAACCAGTGGCTTACGTATAGACATGCACAATAGAGATAATGGCAGAGACCCTTGTGCTGTGGATGTACCAGAACAGGGTCTTGCTTTGAACAATGAGAAAGCAGAGTTGGATGAAATTATGGCTTCCTCTACGAGTTATGATGAGCATGGTCAGATGCATCCAGATGAATTTGAAGATGTAAGTCTAACAATAAAAGGACACTGAGGCAGTTGGTAGTTCTGGTGTTCTACCAACTTCCTTAGTCAACAAAGATTTCTTGGAACTTCCTTTTGATGCTCTATTTTATCCATTTCAGTGTTCCATCAACTTATCTTGTAACATCACTGCATATAAACTTCACCTTGCTCTATTATATCCATTCTATTATTGTCTTCTGAATGTTACTATGGAATTTGATCCATATGTGGACTTTCCCATAGCATCCGATCTTTTGGCGCAATACTCGATCCTTCTGTTATGATTCCCGAACTTATAGTACGAAGTCCAATCTTTGGCACGTCGACCAGTCCTCCAGCTCGATGTCCAATTTCTGACATGATACTTTTCCCGGCACAACGTTTTATTCTCTTACTTTGATAATTTGCCCTTTGATTATTCGAATCCATGATCAAAGTATTTCCTATGTCACTTATCTCAAAAACATATTTGTCCATAAACTCATTAATTGATTTTATCATCAAAATTCAGGATTCAACATTTTTGAGATCACAAACTTGCTATGTCAAGGTTGATGGAGTGAAGTGAATTTCAAGAGTAATCATCTTGCATAAAGCTTGAAAGTTAAACTTCTTTATGAGATATTGAAGAACTAAAAATCTAGCATTAATTACAATTTCTCACAAGGACACGATTGAGTCTTGTTACATTTCGGATGCCTAACCCGGCTTAAATGGTCATGAGTTTATTATGTCTTAGTGGAGTCAATTTGATTCTTACTAGAGTTTATTTGAGTTGTCCTTAAGTTTAATTTGTGTTATATGTTTTTTGTGGTTTCTTAATAATTTTTGAGTTTGTTAAACCTTTTTGGTTTCCTGTTGCAAATTGTTCTGAGTCATTTGGGTTCAACATCTAGATTTATTGTTGATTAAGCTTGAGGTCAATTGTAAATAGTTGGCTAGATCATGGTCTAAAATCTTGAGTGTCGGTCCATATCTATGCTTGGTTGGACAAGTACGAACCGACATACCAACATATGGTACAACGGATATGTACTGTAGTAGAAGGTGAAGAGGAGACGAGGAGGAAAGGAGAATGAGAAGTTGAAGAAGAGGAAGAGGAAGAGGAGGAGATGAAGAGGAGAGGTGGACAAGAAGTTGAAAAGGAAGAATACTTGGTGGGCTGGCAACAATGGATGGTGCGAAGGAGGCGAGCATGAGAAAAAGTTTGAGAGCAGGGTTTGGTGTTGGACTTTATCACCAGAGCTTGAAGATTCAGTTTTGCATGCCTAAGCTACACTAGATTACCATATTTGCATTTCTAAATTTTTACATATTATTAACCATGAATAGATATATTCATGTATGAATATATCATGCAATATATGCTTTATATGTACTTTAACATACTAATGATGTGTTTCGTATGTCAATGTTTTTGCTGTAAGATTCAAATACAGGAAATGTTAAATTTTTAAAGTTGATCGAACTTTCATGATTGTCTAAGCTTCCACATAAAAACCCAAGGCACCTGTGTGCTTTCAGAAAGGTCTGTGCCTGGGTTTGTATAGGCTGTTTTGAGATCTCTTTAACCATAAAGATAACACTTGCTGATTTGCTTTTAAAATAATCTGTGATATTTTTGGTCATATGAAGGATACACTTCCTGATTTTCTCTGTATTTGGTGCTTCGCAGTTTAGCAATCAGATGGGAATTAAAATTTTCCCTGATTATGTCATACATGGGGGCATTTCATATGGAGAATCTCAGGTTGTCTTCTCTGCAGATTGCATTAAGATAAAGTGTTCTGATGCGATTGGAAGTGATGAGAAGTTTTCTTCTGAATGGGCAGTTGCTGATATTGTTCATATTGTTTGTCGATGGAGTGGAAGTGTGAGTTTTGGTCACTTAGTCCTTTTTTTTGGGTTATATATTGCATGGTTATGCACAATTATAGTTATGTTTCCTTATTCCAGGTAACTACTGCATCAGTTAAACTTTGCCTCGGAGAAAATGATGTGACTAAAAATGAGAAACATCATAATGATTCTGGTGTGTTACTCATCAAATTTTTGTTCTAATTTACTTCAATTTTGTCTCTTACATACTTCATGTGTCTATTTGTTATCAACTACTAATGGTGCATCAACTCCCTGCAACCCCCTTATGCGTTCTTTTTCTGTAACTTGTCTTATGTTGGTAATTACTAGCATGGTATGCAATTTCGAATGGTACCATCTGGTACGGGCGGTACGTATCGGTCCGACAGCATACTGGTATGCAGACCGCCCGCTATCGGACGGAACGTGCTACATTGCTACAGTACACAGTGTAGCAGTACTACAGTACATATTGTAGTAGTACTACAGTGCTACAGTGCCTAGTATGATGATGATGCAAAATAAAGACTTACCTTTTCCTGCGCCAAGTACCATAGTATGCTGGCCTATGATTTTGGCAAAATTGCAAAAGTTTCTTATGCTGCAACCAGAGTCGAACACCAGTGCTATAGTAGGAAGGAAGAAATATATAAAACCGTTTGGTACGCCTTGGTGTACCGCTCGGTACACGATACCATATCGTACCGAGCCAACCTCGAAACACTGGTACGGTACGGTATTGTATACCCTGATCACTAGATTCTCTGTCAGCCATGTTTGCTCTTGGATTGTTTTGGATTTTCTGATTGAAAATTTTCTACTGATATCCATCTTAAGTAAAAGATAAGATCGCTGGATACACAAGTAATGATCTTAGTATTTTTTGCTTAAGTTGTTAAACTTTTTCTTTCATTATTCCAACCATGAAACTATATTGGAAAGGATTGTTGCAGTCAATCAATATGACTTATCTCAAGTGCAATATGTTTATCAAAATGGCAAATATTTGTGATTTATTTTCACATATGCCATGTTGGTTTCTGGGTTTTATGGAGTGAGCATTCCAATAATGAGCTAGGCTTTATTTTCTGGGTCGTCCTATATTGACATAAGAAGAAAGCTTTAGTCGATGTGATGCTTGGTTAGCATGAAGTAACTAGAGTTTTTTATAGGTGTACTAACCAGTATTGTGTAAATCCAGTACTCAAGACTTTGGATCCTTTTTTCTGCCAAAATCCTTATATCCTAGAAGGCTAGAATTAAGGATTTAAGAGGGGATTCAATTCCAGAGCTGATAAACCTGGGTCCTGGGTATGTGATTATTTAACATGGAGGTGTTGGGAGTCCTATCTACTGTGAAGCACCTAGTTAAGGGATTAAAAAGATGTCAAAATAATGCAGTCATCGATAATTAGAACATGGTGTTTCATCATTCAACTTCTTGCAATTCAGTGATGGGTGATACCCACGTTGGTAGGGCTAGCATATGGATTGAAGTAATTACGTAGTCTACTTACTGGATGGGATGTACCATATATGTGAAATAATGTCACAGACAGAGTGGATTACATCTGGTCATGACTTGACTGGATATTTCATAATCTGTTGTGCTGGTGCATGCCAATTTAAAGCACATGACATGGCACTGTGAGGAGTGTTAAAGATCAAATTGTCCAGCTGCGTTCTTGTTCTGTTATGGGGCACAAAGGCATTTTCATGCCAGCTGGTAACTTGTATATAGTTGCAGTCAATACTTCGTAACTTGCCATGATCAAAATATGGAGTCACACTCATTTCGGGCGCTTGAAAAAAAAAATTGATTGCTGTGGACAGATCCTTTATCCTCTATTTCTAGGTATTATGCCACATCAAATGTAGCTTATTGGGACACATATATGGAAGTTCCAGTTGAGAACATGCAAGAAAGGAACTATTCAAGCTGTCTTCCAGGTGCAAATAAAGAATAGTGTCCTTGGGATACATAAGAACTTTTCAATAGCTACAAATTAAGTCCTTGTACTTTATTTAGTTCAGAAATCTAATTAGACTATCTATCATATTTTTTGGAAAGATTTCTTTTTCATGGATGCAATTACTTCAAAGTTTACAACTTCTATTTTCTATCATACACATCCATGGTACTCTATGCAATTTGGAGGTGTGCATCTCTGATGTAGATAATACAGTCTGTAGTTTTCATTGTACATATCTCTGATGTACTCTACGCATCTCTGATGTACAGTATGTCTGATGTACAGTATCTCTGATGTACTTTATGCAATTTGTCATTATAAGATATTATGATAGGATCAGAAGCACATCTTGCAACTCCTTATACTTGTTTAATATTTTCCTCCCCCTCCCTTTATGGGTTAACGTGAGTTGATTTTTCAATTATAGATTTGCCTGTAGGTTTTCCGGAAGTAAGGTTCTCCGTCAATGACATGTGCTGGATGGAGAGGGAACAAAGGATTAGGAATCTGGCAGCAAGATATGAACATATATGGAATGCTAGCTTTGGGTATGCTCCTTAAGCTCATATGCAGTTATGCAATTAAGTTACTGCATGAACGCACTTCAAGAATGCCATCGGGGTTGATTTGATTTTTCACCCAGTTCGAAACATTGCCCTTGGCCATTTTTTGTGCAGACACATGTTACTTGGTTTTATTTTTTCGAATGAGATGTATGTTCTCTAGTGCTTGTAAGAAATCTGATGTAGATTCAACGGTAGAATACTGATTATAATTACTGGATTTGTATTCCCTTTTCCTAGAATTGAAATATTCTAGAATTAGTGTTTTGTGGTTAATTTATTTCCTTGCATGTGTAACGCCATAACCCAATAAGGATAATTAGCAGTTGAAATATATTACCGATTAGTATGAGCAAGTTAAGAATAAAATAAAGTAAAATATTTATTTAATTTAAAAAATCAAAATATTTCTTTTCTTTAGAGGGAACCCTCCCTTTTGACAACTGGTAGACCGCTCCCTTGTTCATCAATGGTGATCTTGGAGAGCTTGTTAATTATTTGTTCATTGAGGAGTACATCTTGGAGAGAGAGGTAGATTTTCTGTCTCTCTTTTTAATTATTTGTTAATTTCAAAATAGTAATGTATAATTTTGTTTGTTCATAATTTCTAGAATTGAAATTATGTTGTTGATACATTATTTCTGGCATTAAAAATTTTGTTATTCATGCTTAATATTTGGTTTGAACCTATGTTGTTTTTGCTTGAGTTTTTATGTAGATTTTATGATATTCATGCCTAAAATTCATATTTATGATATTGTAGGTTTATAATTTCTATTTTGTGCTTAAATAAATATATCATTAAAATTTTAGTTATTGGTAACATGATTTTATGTATTTAGACCAAGAAGCCACTTGAGAAAATGAAGGAGATGTCAAAGAGCGTTTCATACATCTATTTCCTTAAGGTAAATCAAACTTGGAACCAAATTTCCTCAAGGGGAAGAATGTAAACATCGGTTTTTTTTATTCCTTTTTTGTAAAATTTAAAATATTCTATAATTAGTATTTTGCCTTAATTGGTTAATTTATTTCCTTACAAACGCAAGGTAATGAGGAAAATTAATTAGCAACTGAAATCTATTACTTTAATCAAATAAATTTATTATTTAATCCCAAAAAATCAAATTATTCTTCTCCTTAGGGAGAATCATCCCTCCTTTCCTATTTATTGACGGATGGACCCCTTCCTTGTTCATTTATGGTGGCTCGAGAGAGCTTGTGAGAGACAGATCGAGGGGGAGTAGGATTTCATCTCGGAGAAATATAGGTTCTTTGGCTCTCCCTTGTTAATTATTTGTTATTTTTGAAATGTTTATTTATAGTTTTGTTTGTTCATGATTTATAGAATTAAAACTACGCTGTCAATATGTGATTCCTAGCGTTAGAAATTTTGTTATTCATGTATAATTTTTAGTACTTGATCTATGTTGTTCTCACTTGATTTTCTAAATTGATTTCATGATATTCATGCATTAAATTTAGATTTATGATATTGTAGGTTTAGGATTTCTATTTTGTCATTAATTATTGTTAACATGATTTTATATATTTAGACTCTATATTCTTTGTTTGTGATGTATGCCTTCAATTTTTTTTTTGAAGTTATCTAGTTTAAATTCTTGTTAAAAAAAGAATGAAATTGAATTAAGCGATTCAAGTCTGATCTGATCAGGCTTGACCCAAGTCAGACCAAATTGGTCAGTTGGGTTGGACCCAGTGTCGCCATCCAGTCAGTCGACCAAGGTGCGACATGGTGTGGGCCAAAGCCCATGGCATGGCCAGCGGCCAAGCCCAACGTGAACTAGTGCTTGTGATTCAGAGTGACACGGTCCAACATGGTCAAGCACCTACGGCCTAGCACGGCTTAGCTCTTGCAACCTGACTCGTTGCACCCTTGTGTCCCGGCCCATAGCCTCGTGGCCCAGTACTTGCGGCCCCTTGCAACCTAGCTTGTGGTCCCTTGCTGCCTGAGCTTGCAGCCCTCTAGTTTGGACCGGTCCAGGGTGATTCTAGACTGGTTCTAACTAGTTCAAGCTGGTTTAGCCTAGTTGGATCAATTGAGGTCCAATTAGATGGTTTAGGGTGGTTCTAGGCTGATTTTAAACCGATTTGAAGTTAGTTCAGATGGGTTCTAACTAAAAATCCGATTGGTTCAAGTCAACTATATAGATTCAGGCCAACTTAGGCCCATAGTGGACTTGACACCTTATGATACTGGATTTAATGAATTTAAAGGATTTATGTGATGCATTTGTTCTGAAATTAATAAATTGCAAGTTTTTATAACTTACATGACTAAAATGAATGGTATGGTATATGAAATAATATATGAAAATTTTTCCCTTGCCAAGAGTAGGTAGACCAAACCCATGCTAGTAGAGTGATTCTCTCATGTGATTAATGGATCATTGACAGCTGGATGGTTGTCCCATTTGCTATTAAGAGGAATATGCCCCCACTTTTGCACTTTCGCAGGTGAGGGGTGTCACTCTATCCACTGTAAGTTAGGAGTGGTATTAGTTTTTCCATCCACTATTAGGAGAATATAGATTCCATCCCGTACATTGATGGGGGAGTGCACTACCAAGTGTCTGACCTTACCACCATATAGGACTTGTGATGACTATGATATACCAGTGGTGGACCTGTGAGTCCATCCTTTGATGGATTTTCACTTTATATATGTTTTGTTTTTGTATTTCAGAACAGCTCTCTAATAGTATTAAACTTGATTCCTGTGTGGAGATGACCTTCCTTTACAGCTACAACTAGGTAGCATTATGGGGACTCCTAGCATTTCATGGCTTTTAGTGCAAGCTATTAGAGCTTGTTTGTTACTTTTTGAGACTGCTGTCTGTTTTTAAGAAAAACATTTGAAAATTTTGTTTTAAAATAATTTTTAATTTTTATACTTCTTTGGATTGATGTATGTTAAAAAGATATTGGGCAGGAAGTAACACTGATAGCCCTTTTATCCAGCTACTTTGTGAGCTAAATAATATACCAATGCCTGGAAACTCATGTTATCACCTTAGTAAACTCCTTCGTGGTTTTGTTGTTAACAATTTTTCTTTATTTTAGTGATATGGTGTGCAAAAATGACTTGATGGATTCTAATGCATCAAGGGACTTCTTCGCAATGTGAGTATTTTCTATATTGGTCTTTTTGTCTTATTTGATCTGGGTGATATTTGTTATCTTGTCACAAATAGAACTCAAAGTTAAACCTGGAAATCTTGCAACCTACATGCTCATGATGTATTTTTAACCTTGTTGTACACAAAAGTGGAGAACAGGAAAGTGACTTTAGCAAATTGCATAATACATTTACATAATATTTTGTGAACTGGAGAAGACTCAATCTCATTTGTTATATTTTTGTACTGCAGATTTATTTCTTTTTTTCCGAGACCTCTGATTGTCCTCTCAACTTTTGCTTCAGAATTGCAGGATCCTTGGAAGATGTTATCTACCCTAAGGGAGATCCTGATGCTGTTTCCATAAGTAAAAGAGATATTGAATTCTTACAACCTGAAACATTTATCAATGATACAATTATCGACTTTTATATCAAGTAAGGTCAACTGAATACTTTTGGTTATTCATTTGGTACATCATTTTGCTCTTTCTGCACAGAACCTTATTTCTACTTTATTAGCTTTGTGATAACCAAGGAATGTTCTTTATTGGCATATAACTTGCAACTGTGAGGGTTATATCTGTCCTTCACAGATAACTTGTTGCGGTTTGATCAATCAAATTCAAATGGATTACTCTGGTGCATCAAATTGCAGATTTAAGAACAGATTCATTCGCAATACTATATATAGATAAGCATCTCACTGCTGCACAGACAAGTGCCTTTGTTTGGTGCTCATTGGTTGATGTAGATGCTCAATAGAAGATGTTCCTACCATTTTGTTTACTATTAGATGCAACTATCTTATTCATCTTCCACTGTTGGTAAAATAGAGAGAAAAATATCAGAAGAGGAAGGGCGAGGTCAAAGAGAAGCACCAACCTTTGAAGTATATGGATTTGCCATGATAAAGAATTGAGATTATGAAATTTATGAAATATGACTAATGCATTATCTAACCTTTTATTTTGATAATTAAAGAAGCATCAGGCTGTAATGACTCCATTATTAAATCTTGGAAGCTGCTGTAAATTTGCACTTTTCTGTATGACATATATATATATATATATATATATATATACATATATATATATATATATATACATATATATATATATATATATACATACATACATATATATACATATACATACATATATACACACACACACACACACACACACACACACACACACACACACACACACACACACACATATATATATATATATGTATATATATATATATATAAGCCATTTGTTACATTAATATCATTTTATGATATCATCTATACTCATTTTTAGTAAGTACATAATAAATATTTTTGATTTATTATTCTTGATTTTTATTTTTTTTAACATTCTATCTTTTATGTTTTGATTTCATATAGTTGAAAAAAATGAGATACTTTATGAAATATGAAGATCAAAGAATTTTTTGGGAAAGTCATTTTCCCGTAGAATTCTGTTGTATAATATTCCTATTAATTTTGTTATTTTTATGTTTTATATAATTATAAAAAAATGAGTTATTTTTTTATGACTGTTCACTATGTTAGTTGTATCATTCCCTGCTGATCCTGAGACCTGTATCGATCATGTGAACTATGTAAAATGAATCCCACAAAACAAAACTACCGACTAATGTCAAGAAAATTTACCTAGCTGCAATTTGTTATCTTCTTGCCACCATTAGTTAAAATGTGTTAATGTGATGAATGTACTTCACTTGTAAATCATTTTTGTCTTGCTTTAAGATAAGTAAATTGCCTGTTTCTATTGGGATAGTAAAGTTGTTTTGAGTTACATGTAGCAGCTATAGAAGTCAACAGCGAACCTTACATGTGGGCATATAAAAATTGTTGGCAGTTATAAATTCATGGATGAAATATGGTTCTTCATACAAAAAAATGCAAATTACACATGCTGATTATGTAGTTTGGTTGTGTGTTAGTTTTAATATTATGATCCAAATTTACTCATGAACCTTTAACCTTGAGCCTTCACTGAGATTTCTCAAGCATCACATGATAGTTTTGGTGTAAAGAGGATTGTGTTTTTGTCAACCGATCAAAGTTTTGATTTGGACAAGACATATTTATATTTTAAATGATAATTATATAAAATTTTACATATATTCTTAGTTGTTGCTTATCGTTGCTTAAAGTCATATATTGTCATGATTTGGTTTGACGGGATAATTGGTATATCAACTTCGTTGAGCCTAAACTATTAATTAAAATGCTTAAGTTAAAGTTAACAAAAGTACACTATCACGAACAGTCATTGTGCACCTGCAGTATCTTCGTCAACGAATTGTTTATCGTTTTTGTATACTTGTACACAAGGTTCGCAATACCGTACCGTACCGGCTTTTTGACGTTTGCTCGGTACGGTATGAAACGGTATACCGAGCGGTATACC